GGCAAAACGTTTTCAGTAAATATCTCGGAGTCTCTGCCTCCGGCGTCCGTCAGCACCGCGCATTCCTCCCGAGAGCCACAGAGCCAGTTTTTCAGGTCCAGAGTCACCTGCGCAGCCCGACAACGTCTGTGATATGTCACCGATCCCATTCACAGCTCCGCCTCCTGCTGACAGATCCCTACTGGAGGAAAGTGTACTGAGAGCAGAAGAGCAGAGATACTGACAGAGGCCCCAGGACTCTGCTCCTTCCTCTATAACTCTCCTCTCCTGTCTCTGCTCTGCTGGAGGACTCTGCTCCTTCCTCTATAACTCTCCTCTCCTGTCTCTGCTCTGCTGGAGGACTCTGCTCCTTCCTCTATGACTCTCCTCTCCTGTCTCTGCTCTGCTGGAGGACTCTGCTCCTTCCTCTATGACTCTCCTCTCCTGGCTCTGCTCTGCTGGAGGACTCTGCTCCTTCCTCTATAACTCTCCTCTCCTGAGATACTCTGCTCTGCTGGAGGACTCTGCTCCTTCCTCTATAACTCTCCTCTCCTGATATACTCTGCTCTGCTGGAGAACTCTGCTCCTTCCTCTATAACTCTCCTCTCCTGAGATACTCTGCTGGATGACTCTGATCCTTCCTCTATGACTCTCCTCTCCTGCCTCTGCTCTGCTGGAGGACTCTGCTCCTTCCTCTATGACTCTCCTCTCCTGATATACTCTGCTGGAGGACTCTGCTCCTTCCTCTATAACTCTCCTCTCCTGATATACTCTGCTCTGCCGGAGGACTCTGCTCCTTCACTGTTTGCCTCCTGTTACCCCCAATAAACTCTCCTCTGACCGATTAATCATTCCGGGATTAGTTATCGGGTTAATGATTGATTTGGATCGCTGGTAACAGATCTCTAATCCGAGACAATTAACAAAAACAGGGGGGAGGGGCCAGGGGGCGGAGCTGGACTATAATATGTTTATAGTGTGTAGACATGTTTATGGTTTTATGGGGAAGGTGACTTCAAAGTGATTTGTAGTTTTCTCACTTTCACATACTTGCTGGATCATGTTTGATATGGAGATCTCCCTCTAGTGGCCACAACATACACTGTACTCAGCAGCCTTGGCTAGCAGGTGCCGAGATAAACTCAATTACACGGTTAGCCACCCAGAGAGAGTTTTACGCTCATTGAGCTCTACTGACCCATAGACGTGAACTGACTGACAGAACAGGATTGCAAACTACAAAACACTTTCTCCCGATGTAATGGGGGTGCAGACACCTCATCTAATGACGGGAAGGTATAGGAGGGGGTGCAGGGAGGGGTGCAGACACCTCATCTCAGGAGGGGAAGGTATAGGAGGGGGCGCAGGGAGGGGCGCAGACACCTCATCTAATGATGGGAAGGTATAGAAGGGTGTGCAGGGAGGGGTGCAGTCACCTCATCTCAGGAGGGGAAGGTATAGGAGGGGGCGCAGGGAGGGGTGCAGACGCCACATCTCAGGAGGGGAAGGTATAGGAGGGGGCGCAGGGAGGGGTGCAGACACCATCTCAGGAGGGGAAGGTATAGGAGGGGGTGCAGGGAGGGGTGCAGACACCATCTCAGGAGGGGAAGGTATAGGAGGGGGCGCAGGGAGGGGTGCAGACACCACATCTCAGGAGGGGAAGGTATAGGAGGGGGCGCAGGGAGGGGTGCAGACACCACATCTCAGGAGGGGAAGGTATAGGAGGGGGCGCAGGGAGGGGTGCAGACGCCACATCTCAGGAGGGGAAGGTATAGGAGGGGGCGCAGGGAGGGGTGCAGACACCACATCTCAGGAGGGGAAGGTATAGGAGGGGGCGCAGGGAGGGGTGCAGACACCTCATCTCAGGAGGGGAAGGTATAGGAGGGGGCGCAGGGAGGGGTGCAGACGCCACATCTCAGGAGGGGAAGGTATAGGAGGGGGCGCAGGGAGGGGTGCAGACACCACATCTCAGGAGGGGAAGGTATAGGAGGGGGCGCAGGGAGGGGTGCAGACACCACATCTCAGGAGGGGAAGGTATAGGAGGGGGCGCAGGGAGGGGTGCAGACACCACATCTCAGGAGGGGAAGGTATAGGAGGGGGCGCAGGGAGGGGTGCAGACACCACATCTCAGGAGGGGAAGGTATAGGAGGGGGCGCAGGGAGGGGTGCAGACACCACATCTCAGGAGGGGAAGGTATAGGAGGGGGCGCAGGGAGGGGTGCAGACGCCACATCTCAGGAGGGGAAGGTATAGGAGGGGGCGCAGGGAGGGGTGCAGACACCACATCTCAGGAGGGGAAGGTATAGGAGGGGGCGCAGGGAGGGGTGCAGACACCTCATCTCAGGAGGGGAAGGTATAGGAGGGGGCGCAGGGAGGGGTGCAGACGCCACATCTCAGGAGGGGAAGGTATAGGAGGGGGCGCAGGGAGGGGTGCAGACACCACATCTCAGGAGGGGAAGGTATAGGAGGGGGCGCAGGGAGGGGTGCAGACACCACATCTCAGGAGGGGAAGGTATAGGAGGGGGCGCAGGGAGGGGTGCAGACACCACATCTCAGGAGGGGAAGGTATAGGAGGGGGCGCAGGGAGGGGTGCAGACACCACATCTCAGGAGGGGAAGGTATAGGAGGGGGCGCAGGGAGGGGTGCAGACACCACATCTCAGGAGGGGAAGGTATAGGAGGGGGCGCAGGGAGGGGTGCAGACGCCACATCTCAGGAGGGGAAGGTATAGGAGGGGGCGCAGGGAGGGGTGCAGACACCACATCTCAGGAGGGGAAGGTATAGGAGGGGGCGCAGGGAGGGGTGCAGACACCTCATCTCAGGAGGGGAAGGTATAGGAGGGGGCGCAGGGAGGGGTGCAGACGCCACATCTCAGGAGGGGAAGGTATAGGAGGGGGCGCAGGGAGGGGTGCAGACACCACATCTCAGGAGGGGAAGGTATAGGAGGGGGCGCAGGGAGGGGTGCAGACACCACATCTCAGGAGGGGAAGGTATAGGAGGGGGCGCAGGGAGGGGTGCAGACACCACATCTCAGGAGGGGAAGGTATAGGAGGGGGCGCAGGGAGGGGTGCAGACACCACATCTCAGGAGGGGAAGGTATAGGAGGGGGCGCAGGGAGGGGTGCAGACACCACATCTCAGGAGGGGAAGGTATAGGAGGGGGCGCAGGGAGGGGTGCAGACGCCACATCTCAGGAGGGGAAGGTATAGGAGGGGGCGCAGGGAGGGGTGCAGACACCACATCTCAGGAGGGGAAGGTATAGGAGGGGGCGCAGGGAGGGGTGCAGACACCTCATCTCAGGAGGGGAAGGTATAGGAGGGGGCGCAGGGAGGGGTGCAGACGCCACATCTCAGGAGGGGAAGGTATAGGAGGGGGCGCAGGGAGGGGTGCAGACACCACATCTCAGGAGGGGAAGGTATAGGAGGGGGCGCAGGGAGGGGTGCAGACACCACATCTCAGGAGGGGAAGGTATAGGAGGGGGCGCAGGGAGGGGTGCAGACACCACATCTCAGGAGGGGAAGGTATAGGAGGGGGCGCAGGGAGGGGTGCAGACACCACATCTCAGGAGGGGAAGGTATAGGAGGGGGCGCAGGGAGGGGTGCAGACACCACATCTCAGGAGGGGAAGGTATAGGAGGGGGCGCAGGGAGGGGTGCAGACGCCACATCTCAGGAGGGGAAGGTATAGGAGGGGGCGCAGGGAGGGGTGCAGACACCACATCTCAGGAGGGGAAGGTATAGGAGGGGGCGCAGGGAGGGGTGCAGACACCTCATCTCAGGAGGGGAAGGTATAGGAGGGGGCGCAGGGAGGGGTGCAGACGCCACATCTCAGGAGGGGAAGGTATAGGAGGGGGCGCAGGGAGGGGTGCAGACACCACATCTCAGGAGGGGAAGGTATAGGAGGGGGCGCAGGGAGGGGTGCAGACACCACATCTCAGGAGGGGAAGGTATAGGAGGGGGCGCAGGGAGGGGTGCAGACACCACATCTCAGGAGGGGAAGGTATAGGAGGGGGCGCAGGGAGGGGTGCAGACACCACATCTCAGGAGGGGAAGATATATGAGGGGGTGCAGGGAGGGGTGCAGACGCCACATCTCAGGAGGGGAAGGTATAGGAGGGGGCGCAGACACCTCATCTCAGGAGGGGAAGGTATAGGAGGGGGTGCAGGGAGGGGTGCAGACACCACATGTCAGGAGGGGAAGATACAGGGGGGTGCAGTATATACCTTTCTGAACGTTCATTGTGTGCAACTAGATGCAAAAACGAACGTTCTCCGTCTATTTCCTTTTCAGGTGTAATGTATTGTGATGTAATTCTGTATTATGGCCACTAGCGGGAGCCGAGGAGATCAGTGTTTATTTCCTGTTCTCCTCGGCTCCCGCTAGTGGCCATAATACAGAATGACATCACAATACATTACACCTGAAAAGGAAATAGACGGAGAACGTTCGTTTTTGCATCTAGTCGCACACAATGAACGTTCAGGTAGATTCGCCGGGCGAAAGGCTCCACCATGGACCCCGGATATCACTCTCGATACTCTTATACAATGCCTTATTGATGAAACAATAAATGATTCACCGGACGTTCACGCCACACGCAGGTTGACAGATACAGAAGACGTTTCCTGCTTCACAATATCCGATCCCCCATCCCCCGTCCACGTCTGCACACTGCGGGAAGCCATGCATTGGGTTAGGGTCAGGGGTTAGGGTTTAGGGTTGGGGTGAGGGATTAGGGTGAGG